CGATAATCCCTCATCCCGCAACCTTGTTTCCTGGAACATGATGATGACTGGCCACGTCAAACATTATCAAATTGAACATGCACACAAGCTGTTTGATCAAATGCCCCTTAAAGATACAGTTTCCTGGAATGTCATGCTCTCTGGTTTTAGTAGAATTACGGACTCTGATGGGTTGTACCGCCATTTCTTGCAAATGGGAAGATCATGTGTTGCCCCGGATGACTATACCATCTCCACATTGCTCAGAGCAGTTATAAGTACTAAGTTGGATGTTTTGGTCCCCCAGGTGCATGCTCTAGCGCTTCATTTGGCACTTAACTTGAGTGTGTTTGTTGGTTCTTCGTTGATCAGAGCTTATGCGAATTTAAGAGAGGTAGAGGCTTTTAAGCGCGTGTTTGATGATATATTGGTGAAAGATGTCACATCTTGGAATGCTTTAGTTTCTGGTTATATGGAAGTGGGAAGCATGGATGATGCACAAACAAATTTTGATGTGATGCCCCAAAGGAACATAATTTCCTGGAGTACTTTGGTGAATGGTTATATCAGGAACAAGAAGATAAACAAAGCAAGGTCTGTTTTTAACAAAATGAGTGAGAGAAATGTGGTGTCCTGGACGGTAATGATTAGTGGGTATGTGCAAAATATGAGATTTATTGATGCACTGAAGCTTTTTCTTCTGATGTTGAAGTCAGGAACTCGTCCCAATCATTTCACGTTTTCAAGTGTGTTGGACGCATGTGCTGGTTGTTCCTGTCTTTTGACGGGAATGCAGGTGCACCTGTGTGTTATCAAGTCTGGCATACCAGATGATGTCATCTCGTTGACCTCGCTTGTGGATATGTATGCTAAATGTGGAGATACGGATGCAGCATTTCTTGTTTTCGAGTCCATTCCGAAAAAGAATCTGGTGTCATGGAATACAATAATTGGCGGCTTTGCTAGTAACGGGCTTGGTAACCGAGCACTAGAGGAGTTTGATCGGATGAAAAAAGTTGGTGTTAAACCAGATGAAGTTACTTTTGTAAATGTGTTGTCAGCGTGTGTGCATGCCGGTCTTGTTGAAGAAGGTGAAAAGCACTTCCCTTCTATGCTATCCAAGTATGGAATCGAAGCAGAGATGGAACACTATACTTGCATGGTGGACCTCTACGGAAGAGCAGGGCAATTTGATAAAGCAGTAAAGCTGATCGAAAATATGCCATTGGAGCCCGACGTGGTATTGTGGGGTGCGCTGCTTGCAGCTTGTGGCCTGCATTCAAATTTAGTACTTGGAGAGTATGCTGCAGATAGGATCCACAAACTGGAAAGTAAACATCCTGTTTCTTACTCAATTCTTTCAAAGATCCAAGGTGAGAAAGGAATATGGAGCAGTGTAAATGAACTTAGGGACTTGATGAGCGTTAAACAAATTAGAAAGCAGAAGGCAATTAGTCGGGTTCTGTAATCTCAGCCGAGTGTTAATGATTATGCACAATGTGCAATTTATGAATTTGTGGTTCTTTATATTCAATTGAAGTCCTTTGGTACATTAAAGTCCAAGGGATGTTGAAGTCTCTATCACCCTCAAGCCCCTGACGAGGGAACATGCCAGATGAACTTGCAATCACTTTATTTACCTCCATTGGCTTCTGATGAATTAAATGCCCATTTTATTGGAGAAGAATGAAAAAGTTGAATGACGTTTATAATAATTTCCAATAGCCTTTCAGTGGCAAATTCTGAAAGACACTTGACACCTTATTTGTTTTACTGGAAGGTTTAAATACTTATTTAGTTTGTGTACTTCTACAATCTTTAAGCTTTAATTCCTATATCTTAAAACTTACTCATGTATGTCTTTACACATACAGTTTTTCAGTTCATTACAGGCTTTGTCGTCTAAAAATATAGAAACTAAAACATAGAGATTAAATAAATTATTAGACCTTATACAAGCATATACGAGGTGAATTATCAATTTTCATTCTGAAGTTCTTATCTGTTCAAATATGAATGCTGTAGACTAGTCATCTATATTCCATCAGGTGACAATGAAGAAATAAAGCGAGAATTACATTAATATAAATTTGTTAAAAATTATGTGCTTCTGTAAATTTATATATGAAAAATTCAGTTCAATCTGTCAATCTATCTCGAAGCTATTTTTTTCAATTCTGGACAATGGGTCTGCTAGAATGACATCAAAGTTGCTTAGAGTTCACCCTGCTACTTCATCTTGTGCACTAATATATCAATACAAGTGTATATCCTTTGAGCAGCAGGAGTGCCAGGGTCCTGCAGCAAGAAATTCAGATGGTTTATCACACTCATGTGCTTCCAGCAGCAGAATAGAAATTCAATCCCTGATAGAAGTTGAGTCTACTCCATAGCCCCCCAAACAAAGGGTTATTTTCAGTTTTTAACCAATTTTTTTTACTAGTTATAAATTGGTTTTAATGTATATATTTTACTTTAATTTTGTAGTTTTAGTTTATATATATATTTCTTTTGTTTTGAACTTCATTTTTTTTAAATATTATTTTTTATTGATTTCAGTTGCAAGAATGTAACAGGATTCAACTTTATTTGTATTGATTTAGATTTCTGTAATTGGATTTATCTACCTAAATTAGAGTTCACATTTAAATTTGTATTTACTTCATATTTGAAGTTTACATATAGTTTAAAAGAGTTTTAAACTTGAATATAAATTTGTTTTTCTCTCCTATAATTTAGGTTTTGTACTTTATTATTGTAATTTAAGTTTTATTTATTGAATCTTAATTTAATAATTAAATACAAATTAAATTGAATAATATTTTGATTCAATTGATTAATTATTCAAACTCAAATACGAATATTTAGAACATTGTGATCAGAAATTTTCTTAAAATGAAATACTGTATACATATATCATATAAAGATTAATCTAAATTGACAAATATTAAACAACACTTATAATATTTAATAGACAATAAAATTCTCGAGCATCATCCAGCATCATTGTTCTTGCGGCTTCCCATATCTAAAAGGTGAAATTGGCTCTTAGGTCTTCCGTTTTTGACATCTAAGTTCAGTCTGACTCTACAATTTGGTGACTCTCGAAGCTCAATCATAAAACCAAATGGTTAATGTTTTCAAACCAACCATCTCGAAGAAAATCGAACGTTGATTAGCTTACAAATTTTATGACTACTGAGTTTGAAACATTCATAATAGGAAATTGTGGACAAATGAAGACTTTGGTTACAGTTTTATGCATTCCTCTTGTGTCGTAATGGTACTTCTTCTGGTCGCATCAGCCTTTAGTTGCAACATCAACGTCGGATGTAACAGTCTTTCGAAGAGTCACTTAATTATATTTATATTGTCAACAAGGTCAAGATCACATAATAATATTTATATTGTCAACAATTTATAATATTATAATAGATTATAATTACTTTAAATTTAAAAAATAAAAAATAGTCAAATATGTACTTGGAAGTTTATTGAAACTGGTGTTATATATTTATTCGCAAATCTAAAAGAAGAAAAAAAAGCCCTATAAAAGTTATACCGATCTTTTTGTCTTCATAAAATACCACAAAAAGGCACAATTGCACAATGTCAAATAAGAAAAATAAAGCATTTAACTTTCCCTTATTTTCGTTTGTCACGTGCATGCAGGTTTTCTTCAGTTGTTGACAGAGTAAAAAGTACAAACCAGATAGGCTGCTTAGGAATTGCAAAATTGTCATATTCCTAAAANGTATGTGCAAAATATGAGATTTATTGATGCACTGAAGCTTTTTCTTCTGATGTTGAAGTCAGGAACTCGTCCCAATCATTTCACGTTTTCAAGTGTGTTGGACGCATGTGCTGGTTGTTCCTGTCTTTTGACGGGAATGCAGGTGCACCTGTGTGTTATCAAGTCTGGCATACCAGATGATGTCATCTCGTTGACCTCGCTTGTGGATATGTATGCTAAATGTGGAGATACGGATGCAGCATTTCTTGTTTTCGAGTCCATTCCGAAAAAGAATCTGGTGTCATGGAATACAATAATTGGCGGCTTTGCTAGTAACGGGCTTGGTAACCGAGCACTAGAGGAGTTTGATCGGATGAAAAAAGTTGGTGTTAAACCAGATGAAGTTACTTTTGTAAATGTGTTGTCAGCGTGTGTGCATGCCGGTCTTGTTGAAGAAGGTGAAAAGCACTTCCCTTCTATGCTATCCAAGTATGGAATCGAAGCAGAGATGGAACACTATACTTGCATGGTGGACCTCTACGGAAGAGCAGGGCAATTTGATAAAGCAGTAAAGCTGATCGAAAATATGCCATTGGAGCCCGACGTGGTATTGTGGGGTGCGCTGCTTGCAGCTTGTGGCCTGCATTCAAATTTAGTACTTGGAGAGTATGCTGCAGATAGGATCCACAAACTGGAAAGCAAACATCCTGTTTCTTACTCAATTCTTTCAAAGATCCAAGGTGAGAAAGGAATATGGAGCAGTGTAAATGAACTTAGGGACTTGATGAGCGTTAAACAAATTAGAAAGCAGAAGGCAATTAGTCGGGTTCTGTAATCTCAGCCGAGTGTTAATGATTATGCACAATGTGCAATTTATGAATTTGTGGTTCTTTATATTCAATTGAAGTCCTTTGGTACATTAAAGTCCAAGGGATGTTGAAGTCTCTATCACCCTCAAGCCCCTGACGAGGGAACATGCCAGATGAACTTGCAATCACTTTATTTACCTCCATTGGCTTCTGATGAATTAAATGCCCATTTTATTGGAGAAGAATGAAAAAGTTGAATGACGTTTATAATAATTTCCAATAGCCTTTCAGTGGCAAATTCTGAAAGACACTTGACACCTTATTTGTTTTACTGGAAGGTTTAAATACTTATTTAGTTTGTGTACTTCTACAATCTTTAAGCTTTAATTCCTATATCTTAAAACTTACTCATGTATGTCTTTACACATACAGTTTTTCAGTTCATTACAGGCTTTGTCGTCTAAAAATATAGAAACTAAAACATAGAGATTAAATAAATTATTAGACCTTATACAAGCATATACGAGGTGAATTATCAATTTTCATTCTGAAGTTCTTATCTGTTCAAATATGAATGCTGTAGACTAGTCATCTATATTCCATCAGGTGACAATGAAGAAATAAAGCGAGAATTACATTAATATAAATTTGTTAAAAATTATGTGCTTCTGTAAATTTATATATGAAAAATTCAGTTCAATCTGTCAATCTATCTCGAAGCTATTTTTTTCAATTCTGGACAATGGGTCTGCTAGAATGACATCAAAGTTGCTTAGAGTTCACCCTGCTACTTCATCTTGTGCACTAATATATCAATACAAGTGTATATCCTTTGAGCAGCAGGAGTGCCAGGGTCCTGCAGCAAGAAATTCAGATGGTTTATCACACTCATGTGCTTCCAGCAGCAGAATAGAAATTCAATCCCTGATAGAAGTTGAGTCTACTCCATAGCCCCCCAAACAAAGGGTTATTTTCAGTTTTTAACCAATTTTTTTTACTAGTTATAAATTGGTTTTAATGTATATATTTTACTTTAATTTTGTAGTTTTAGTTTATATATATATTTCTTTTGTTTTGAACTTCATTTTTTTTAAATATTATTTTTTATTGATTTCAGTTGCAAGAATGTAACAGGATTCAACTTTATTTGTATTGATTTAGATTTCTGTAATTGGATTTATCTACCTAAATTAGAGTTCACATTTAAATTTGTATTTACTTCATATTTGAAGTTTACATATAGTTTAAAAGAGTTTTAAACTTGAATATAAATTTGTTTTTCTCTCCTATAATTTAGGTTTTGTACTTTATTATTGTAATTTAAGTTTTATTGATTGAATCTTAATTTAATAATTAAATACAAATTAAATTGAATAATATTTTGATTCAATTGATTAATTATTCAAACTCAAATACGAATATTTAGAACATTGTGATCAGAAATTTTCTTAAAATGAAATACTGTATACATATATCATATAAAGATTAATCTAAATTGACAAATATTAAACAACACTTATAATATTTAATAGACAATAAAATTCTCGAGCATCATCCAGCATCATTGTTCTTGCGGCTTCCCATATCTAAAAGGTGAAATTGGCTCTTAGGTCTTCCGTTTTTGACATCTAAGTTCAGTCTGACTCTACAATTTGGTGACTCTCGAAGCTCAATCATAAAACCAAATGGTTAATGTTTTCAAACCAACCATCTCGAAGAAAATCGAACGTTGATTAGCTTACAAATTTTATGACTACTGAGTTTGAAACATTCATAATAGGAAATTGTGGACAAATGAAGACTTTGGTTACAGTTTTATGCATTCCTCTTGTGTCGTAATGGTACTTCTTCTGGTCGCATCAGCCTTTAGTTGCAACATCAACGTCGGATGTAACAGTCTTTCGAAGAGTCACATAATTATATTTATATTGTCAACAAGGTCAAGATCACATAATAATATTTATATTGTCAACAATTTATAATATTATAATAGATTAAAATTACTTTAAATTTAAAAAATAAAAAATAGTCAAATATGTACTTGGAAGTTTATTGAAACTGGTGTTATATATTTATTCGCAAATCTAAAAGAAGAAAAAAAAGCCCTATAAAAGTTATACCGATCTTTTTGTCTTCATAAAATACCACAAAAAGGCACAATTGCACAATGTCAAATAAGAAAAATAAAGCATTTAACTTTCCCTTATTTTCGTTTGTCACGTGCATGCAGGTTTTCTTCAGTTGTTGACAGAGTAAAAAGTACAAACCAGATAGGCTGCTTAGGAATTGCAAAATTGTCATATTCCTAAAAACAAATTCATAATATTTTTTTAAAGGGATATCCATTTCCAACTTCTGTGTCACCCACACATGGCGTTAGAATTATAGATATAAATATTTTCGTATACATGTAATTAGTTTAGTTTTTAATTATAATGTATATTAATAAGATATTTTTAAGATTTAATTAAGTTTTAATTTTTTTATAAATTTGATATTTTTAATTAAATTTTATTAAGTTTTTTATTGAGCATTTCAAATTTTGGTATTTTATACAAAGTTGAGGCTACATACCACAGCATATATACTTGCAGGTTGGTTGAGCAGATAGAGGAAAAGCTTTTTTCTTATGTCAAACAATCTTTTTTTTTTTTAATTTGCAAAAAGTTCAAAGTGTAAAACTGATTAGAGAGGCCTTAGGCTATGAAAACCATGAAAATCAATAGGTTTTTTTTTTCTTGTGTATAAGGAGACAATAGAAAGTAAATTTAAGGTGTTTGGTTATTTTTAATTTTATTGTTTTATTTTATTACGATTTCACAAAATGTCGCCGATTTTTATTACCATTTTTTATTTATAAGATTTGGGAGTGAATGAATTTTATTTATAAGCTTAATAGGACTTTTTTTTATTGGAGACATTTATTCTTGTTCTTTAAAAAAACTTAATACAAAGAAGATTTTCAGTCTATCAAAAAGAAGATTTATTGAAAAGATACAAATACGGATGAAATATGATGGGTCTATCAAAAAGAAAGTTCACTAGAGATATACGAACACTAATAAGATACGAGTCCAACCATATAAGGAATTGACATCACTCTTTTCCCAACACCTTAAAACTATGAATTGATGTGTTTTTACCTTTATATAGTCTTTTATTTTTCATTTTTATCTAAGGTGGGACATGCACTCTTTAGATTCCCAACAAAAACTTAGAGGAATGAAGGACCTCAAATAAGGTTTTGGTTAAAAATTAATTAATATAACTGTGATAATAGGAAAATCAACTAAAAAAGAGATTTGTTTGAGCTTAATATGGAGGCAGTTAAAGGTCATCCACTGTTAGGTTAAGACAAAAGAGACTGCACTTTCTTTTTCGTATAACTAAAATACACGTAACATCAAAAAAAGTGTGGCCGAATCAAGTGTTGTCTCTGAGTTTTCGGCCCTCGAATATGGCTCGTTGTGGCACGTTTGGCTCCACAGCTTTGACGGGTTTTTTCAAGTCAAACTACGAACAAATAATTCTATCTTTCACGTTTTTCACTGATGATAAGTTGTTTTCACGTGATTTATCTGGGTGTCCAGATGCATCGTAAGTAATAAGTCATATTTAATTGTTGTTTTAACGTTTGTTTCAAACATGATTTGTGACTTATGCCAGTTCTATATTAAGCTTATAAATAAACCTATCACGTTGTAAGATATTTGTCACTTTCACTAAACCCATTTTAGATGACTGGTTCAATAAATTATGTTTTATATTATAAAAATTATTGTGAGTTAATTTATTTTAACAATGAGTCTGTTGATAAATAATTAATAGCTTTAAATGTTTAACTGCTTCGATTTAAAAAGCATCATTTAAAAGAAGAGAACTTTAGTATACCATGACATTTTTACAAGTACCTTTTAGTAGTGTTTTTTCATCTAGATATCCAAATTGATACTTTTATATTACAAAACAAGTAACACTTGTGATAATGCATTTTTGGCCTTTCCTATCTGCATTTTCATTCCTGTAACAGGTTGAATGACTTTACAATGGCTGACTCCTTTCTTTCTTTTTTTCTTATGATTTACATACTTGTTTAGGACAAAATTCAATTCTTTCATAATTGATTTTAATTTCATGTTAGAGACGTGTGATTTTAGGACACAGAATTGATCCAGGCACTGCATCCAACTCTATGATCGATGTAATTTCTAGTGCTCCAAATAATCCAATCACTATCACCCATAAGGAAAAAGGCTTTATCGACATTGAACTTTTTCAGCGTGGATGGTCTTCCCCTGTTCTTCCTTGTTCAAAAATGGTGCTTTACCCTTTGCAAGGTTCTGTACTGGAACAATTATGCATTCCTACACCAGCTGATTTGCCTTTACTCTGTCATAAAGTGCCCCCTAAGAGATGAGGCAGTGTTATCTTCCCACAGTCAGAAGGGTCAAGCTTCCTGAATTGGTCACAAATTTGCAACACATCTTTTTCCTGTATTTTACCCATCTCTTTCAGCTTGAAGATTACATACTCAGACTTGCTGAAAACAAAGCCAAGGAGAAGAGCAATGGCAGATACAGAATTATAGTAAGAACGGTATCTAACAGAATAATCCTTTCAAATAATAACCACATAAAATATCAAATAATTCATTGATGACTCACACTCTCTGCCCCTACCTGTACACTTCGCATGATGCATGAAACATCCAACACTGTTAGTATTATCTTTATTTAGAAAGTGACATTTTCCAAAACAGACGACAGTTCATGAAAGTATACAAGTAAAGAAAAAAAAATTCCCTCAAAACCACAATGTTTAATCAAATTATAGTCATCTCCGCACATGACTACCATTCATATTTTTCTTAAAAATATTTTAGTATGCCTCCAGATTTCACGAATCATAACATATTTTATGGTGTTAGCTAATTGCGGTGCGTTGTACTCGATAAGAATATCCTAATCATGGTATCCTATGCATTTGGAGCTATTTTCCTACGAATACTAGATACCAATAATTACAA